TATTTGTACATAACTTTATTTTTAGTAAGTCTGAGAGTTGCCGGATTCGAGCAAACAGTTGCTGGAACGCACCTGACAAAATCAGATATAAAATATTATATTATAATATAATATAATTATATATATAATATATATATTATATACTGTATAATTCCTTCCTCCGGGCGGGCGGAGGGAGGAACTGCAAGGATGGGGGGCACAAGGAAACACTAGGACAAGAAACCAAAAACTGATTGGACGAGGCCTGAGAACTAAACACAAAAACTAAGCACAAGGAAATATAACAAGTTCAGGTGGGTGCCCAAGAGGCCATCCAAGACATGGAACAGACTCAGGGGTGCAGCCGGGAGACCGTCCATCATTGGGTGGGGGCTCTGGTGGGCGATCCAGAGAAGAGACCACCGAAGAAACCATAGCTGCCAACACCAGAACTGTGGCTGAAGTCGTGAGCACCAGAGCTGCCGCTGGAGACGAGGACGCAGGAGCTGCCGCTGGAGACGAGGGCGCAGGAGCTGCCGCTGGAGACGAGGGCGCAGGAGCTGCCGCTGGAGATGAGGGCGCAGGAGCTGCCGCTGGAGATGAGGGAGCAGGAGCCGCTGCTGGAGACGAGGGCACAGGAGCCGCCGCTAGAGACGAGGGCGCAGGGGCCGCCGCTGGAGTTGGGAGCGCAAGGGACGTGTGACGCTCCGAGAACATGGACTCGTCAGGACACAGGGAACGTGTGCTGGGGGTCAGTGGACCAGCGGATTATATTCAGCACTCGTTGCTCCTCCAGCACCATATTGAGGAGCTTTGCCATCTTCGGGTACTGGATTAGTCCTGGAAGGTGAAGGAACTCACCCAAGACATCCTGGGTTGCGACCCATCTTGCCTGCAGGTCGATGAGGGTGCATACAGTGCGAAACAGTGCCCATGAAACACTGTGGAGCCGCTGCTCATCCTCCAGGGTGAGCACAGCCAAGGACGGGCAGCCTGTTGGGTTTTTGTATGGTCCTGGCATTCTGTAACAATCTGGTGTGGTTCAGACCCAAAGATGCAGGCAGTACGACAACTCGGCAGGTAAAATAATATTGTTTTAATATAAAGAACACAAAATAGCTGACAGGGCAGCAAACTTACATACGCAAGGATCACTGGGAACCCAGGAGGCAAGACGTAACAGGAGACATTGCCAGGACAATCATAAACACAAGGACACAGGCTTATATACACAAATACACAGGGAGACAATCACAAACACCTGGATGACACAAGGGTGGAAACAATCAAGCCAATTAACAGGGAGACCAGGGAGTGTAGGGATGGGATCTGCCACAAGGGAGCACCATCCTTACAGAGATGAAGTTAATTTACTAAGTCCTGGCTGATTAGGTTCTGCTCCACTGCGGAATCAACCAAGGCCTGAATAGGATTATTAAGATAACTTTGTTAGTACAAATGATCATAGGTAACCAGAAGTGTATACTAGCAAAATTAACTGCTTTACCCACAAGTATTTCCTGATCTACTGAAGGGCTTTGGCTTTTAACAGGGATACACAGTATAATTGGCAATTAAATTACCCCATTTACCACAGTATAGGCACTCCTTAGCTGACAACCATTGTTGTTGCTCCTCCAGTGGTAACCATGTATTGCTTAGTTGCATGGGGTCCAGTTCCTGTTTTGAGACTGTGGGGGCTGAAGCTTGAACTGGTGGAATTGGAAGTAGCAAAAACTGCAAGATGATTGTTCTAGGCGAATTGTAGTCCTTTTTCCTTATTCCTTCAGGATTTTCAATCTGTACCGCCAATTTAATGGCATCATCTAGTGTTTCTGGATCCTCCTTTGTAGCCAATTGATCCTTTAGCCATTCAGATAACAAATGAATGAATGCTCCTTTGAGTGCTTTATTGCCCAAACCAGTCTCCTCCACCATGACACGGAAGGAGATTGAGTGTTCTGCCACAGGTTGTTTACTCCAGAGCTCTTCAATTAACCACAGCTGTGGCAAAAACCTTGATAAGCAGGGACAGCATAAAAGTTGATGTCAAACCACTGACTTATGCTTGAGTGTTGGTTCACGCACGGTGAAGTCACCTAAGGTCAAACAAGCATTTATCTTTACTATAAGATAAAGTCTAACGTGAATATTCTTTGGTGTGTTTTTTAGCCACCCGCCATGAAACGTACCTTCTAGTGTTGCAAGTACCTCAAATATTTGTTCTTCAGAGACTCAGGTCGTTTTCACACCAGATAGTCCGGTAGACTCAATTCGGTTCGGGACCAATATTCATAACTGTTTGTTTACATTTGAGCTGGTGCATTTGCATTCACACTGCACTGTGCAGTCGAGTCAACCTGTTGAACCAACCTATTACCCCGCTCGCCTGTGGGAGCGCTGCACCAAGAATTACTGAAAGAAATGACACAAAAATCTCTGAGTAAACGTCTTCTTCTTCTTCTGGAAATAAAAATAAAAACGAAGTGGCATCAAGTTTTAGCAAGTTTAGGAGTTATATTTTGTCATTTTTCAAAAATGGACTTAGCAGAAGCAGAAGATAAGACAGAAGACCATGGAGAATATTGTTTTTCCAAACAAGGTAGCTGCCGGCTCCATATAAGGTAAGAGAAATGCGTGTTTGTTTGTCCTGTGGAGCGGGGCCCGGTCTGTTTGCATGCACACTGCACTCGAACCGCGCTGGAGTTCTCTTCTACCGGACCGAGACCTAGGTTTTAGCCCGGGCCAGAGTTCGCCTTTCTGTTCCATGACAGAGTTCGATGGCGAGTTCACACCGCTCCAAACGAACCGGACTTTCTAGGAAAACGAGCTAGAGTTTGATTAAAGCGGACTAAACAGGGCTGGTGTGAATGCACCCTCAGTGTCCATTGCCTGGGACCATTTAACTTCATCCTCTTGATGTGAAAGCGTTTGGACAAATAATAACAATAATAATAATAATAATAAATATATTGTCATCATTGTATGTTCCCATACAATGTCGAAATTGGCTCTCTGCATTTAAGCCATCCACCACCAGGTGGTGCAGTGGGCAGCTATTGAAAGAGTCCAGGGAGCATTTGGGTATAGGGTGTGATGCTCAGAGACACTACGAGATGTCCATTGACTGGAGATCGAACCTGGGACTTTCGGATACTGAGTCGGCTGCCCTGCCTCGGCCCCATCTCAACTGGCCTTATCCACTCTCTCTGAACTATACTGCTGCTCTTTAACTAAAAGACACACCTTGAGATAAATTTCTTGTGAAACCTTGGAAATAATGTGAATCTCCACACCTCTTCATTCAAGCCTGAAAAGGATAAACTGAAACAGTAAGCATTAGTATTCTCAGTTAATGAATAAAGAAGATTTCTAATGATTACAAGATACCCTATCTTCTCCTCAGATCACTCCATGTTAAGCACCCTTCCCTTGACCTTTTATGTCTTGTGTCAGTGAATCCATTCAGTCTTCGGAAAACCAAACTCTGTTTAAACAAACCTAGCTATTTAGCAAAAATGACAGAACACTTAAGCCAAAACCTAGGGTCACAGTTTCTCCAAAGCTGAGAAGATCCATCACACTCTGGTTACTGGAAATACAAGGATTGAAAAACACAATGCGGCCCTTCAGAAAATTATATCTCAGCAACAAATGGCCAGAGCAAACATGGAAGAACTTGGAGGCATGACATACACACTAAAACAGCATCTACCCTCGTTATTACACTTACCTCCCCTAGAATCTCCAAAACCGAAGCTCACCTCCTAAGTTTCCGGGTCATTGGCCACCCTGACCACCATACCCAATACTGAAAGTCTGAAGGATTTAACCATTTATCCACTCACTGGCTTGTCATGATGGAGAAACAACCCTTTTGGGAGGATTTCTCCTGCAGTACAAAACATCCTTCTCTCGTACTCTGGTGGCTTACTTATCTGATTGTGCTTAGATTATATTTATCTTTAGTGTACTAAAGAGGCAAGCTCTTAAATGGGCCAAGGTTCATATGAATTCTCCTCCTATAGAACAGTTGTCATACCTAGTTACTGCATGAATTTAAGAAAGTTTTTGATCATCCCCAATATCAGTAAGAGGCAGCCAAGCAAGTACTGTCACTAAGTCAGAGAAAGCCTGCTTTCAGTTTTAAGCTTCTGTTTTAATGATATTATGTTTTAGTTATCCAGTTATCAGGCTCCCCTCTTGTGGAACCAACTTACAATTTTTCTCCGTGAGGCTAACACATTGTCCAGTTTTAAGACTAGTCTTAAGACTTTGCTTTTTGCTAAATCCTATAGTTAGGGTCAGCTTGGTTTTCCTGAGCTGTCCCTTAGTTGTGCTGCTATAGGCTTAGATTGCTGGAGGACAAACTGATCACATTTTTTCACTTTGCTACTGTCCTTACTTACTCTGCTCAACCCGTTTTGTATTTGTAATTATTTTTTCTATCCTTGACATGTGTTTTTGTCTTTCAGGTACACCTGCACCTATATCTGGACCTGCCATTCTGTGTTTGTTTGTCTCTCCTTTCTGTCCTCTCAAACCCAGCCGGTCAAAGCAGATGACCACTTGTCCTGAGCCTGGTTCTGCTAGAGGTTTCTTCCTTTTAAAAAGGAGTTTTTCCTTTCCACTGTTACCCTTGTGCTTGCTCAGGATGGGAGACTGCAACAAAGTGAAGAGTCAACGTGTCTACTGGCTTCCTTAGACAGAGAACTATACTAACTGGCTTTTCTATTTATGTGAACTTTGCTGTGATTTGGTGCTATATAAATAAACTGAATTGAATTGCTACTATTTTGTTAATTTTAGCTCCTGTAATGCTTATTTTCAATTTCACAACTTTTTAAAAAGTTCAACAAACGTTATCAAAGTCATTCAGCGCTCAGGTGATATTTATACAGGAAATGCCGTTTCACTCATGTAATTGGTTTAAAACATCATGTATGGAATATGTTCTTCTATTAAAAATACATTTGCATTCAAAGTGAAGAAAAAGACATGAGTATTGAAATGTGGCTTACCTGTTTGTGTTCCAGGAGGAGGGTCAGTGTTGAAATCTACTCCATTATTCTTAGTGCCACATAAAAAAGAAATAAATGATTATTCATCAGTTGGTGCCATGAGGTGTGAAACACAACACTAAACAAAACTACAACAAAACAGTCAATGTAGAACAGCAACAAACAACAAAGGCCCAGTTCACACCAGATACAATATGGCTACACTCCACCACCAGCTAGAAACGATTAAACTAAATTTGAAAACTTTCACTTCACCCTCATCATGCTATGTGCATCAGCAGCATGTTCACATGATGACACTAACATGTGCAGCCACAGTCTTAACCAGCCGCAGCCCCAGGAACCACACTGGCATGGCCGTGTTTAACTATGCCAGGGTGCACCCAAACATTACACTAATGAGTGCTAACAAACAGAACAAGTGCTAGATCAATGCCCCCTGTCACTTAGGGATTTAAATAGTGGATGCTTATTGTTTTCAAGATGAGTGTAATATATTCTGGACTGGAATTAAACAGAGAATGCAAAACAATGCTTTTTGTGCAATATATGCAAGTGGGTAGGGGCTACACTGTGAAGAAGAATAGAGGGAGTTTTTATTTTTTTGTGTGCTTTTTTCATTCATTCATTCAACCTTTATTTAGACAGGTAAATCCCATTGAGCCTCGAGGACTCATCTGCAAAAGAGACCGGATTTTGCAGACTGATAGATCCTGGCGAGTGGAGGGATCAATTTCATCCACAACCAGGCACAATGGCGAAGCCTGTGGGTGGCCAATGGTAGCCTTGGTCACCACATATTAATATTTGGCCACCCCTTGTAATTTGAGGAAGCTATACTTTGAAACAATATAAAAACTAGAAAGCATAGCTTCTTCAAATGATCGAGGTGGCTAGTTTACATATAATATATACTGGTAAGTATATTTGGTGGTGACTGTCTCTTAGAAATAAAAACAACACTGCCTGCAGGTGACCTGTGTGTGTGTGTGTGCGCGCGCGTACCTGCAGTAAGGCCTGGAGTCTAGAAGGTTCCCAGTCTCTCAGATAAAACAAACAATCTCTGGGATGATGAGCATGTAGTCCTGACACACTGCACTCGTCCACGGTACAGGTCTGAGGACAAGAGGAGACATGTCCCATGATCAGCTCTGTCAAAGTCAGAGTCAGAGTTTCTTTATTTGTCATTCGCACAACATGTGGTACATGTGGTGGAATGAAATTGTGTACACAGGGTCTCATTTACATTCAACAATAAAATGTAAAAAGAAAAACAGTAATAAAATCTAAGATATGAACTAAAAAAACGTTAACTAAAAATATGCTAAGCACTAATAGCATAAAAACAATACGCTGAACAGCAGCATTAACATGAGTATGTGTGAGCAGATGAGTATGAATGAACACAGCAACATGAAATAAATCAGCAGCAACATGATGTGATTTTTCACAGTGATTATCCTGGTTAGAGATTCATGAGTCTAACAGCCTCAGGGTAGAAGCTGTTCCTCAGTCTAGTGGTTCTACACTTAATGCTCCCCAACCTCCTTCCTGAGGGGAGCGGGGCAAAAAGTGTGTGTGCTGGGTGAGTGGGGTCCTTCATGATACAGGTGGCCCTCTTCCTGCATCTGGAGGTGTAGATGTCTGTGATGGTGGGGAGGCTGAGTCCAGCAGACTTTTGTGCAGCCTTCACCACTTTCTGCAAAGCTTTTTTTTTTGCAGCTGTGCAGCCTCCATGCCACACGTTGATGCTGGAGCACAGGATGCTCTCCACTGCACACCTATAGAAGAAAGTGAGGACTGAACTTCCCAGAACAGCTAGCCTCAGCCGCCTGAGGAAGTAGAGTCTCCGATGAGCTTTTTTGATCATTCAGGTGCACACCCAAGTACTTGTAGCTGGAGACCACTTCCACTACAGATCCTCCTATGTTCAGGGCAGGGTAGGTGTGTTTGTTCTTTCTGAAGTCCACGACCATCTCCTTTGTCTTCTTCACATTGATGTGAAGGTTGGTCTCCTTGCACCAGCTCTCCAGGTGTTCCACCTTCTGCATGTAGCTGGACTCATCATTGTTTGTGATGCATCCCACCACCGCTTTGGTCAATTGTCAACTGTGAAACTCCTGTTTCCCACCAAAACCCCCATTGAAACAATGCCAGCTCACCCACGACTCAAAATAATTAAATAAAAAAATGTGCTCTAAATATATAAATAAATATATATAAGCTCTTAAGCCTCCTTGGTAAGGTCTATTTGGGGATTCTGGAGAGGAGGGTCCATCGGATATTTGAACCTTGGATTCAGGAGGAGCAGTGCGGTTTTCGTCCTGGTCGTGGAATACTGAACCAGCTCTACACTCTCAACAGGGTCCTGGAGGGTGCGTGGGAGTTTGCCCAACCAGTCTACATGTGCTTTGCGGACTTGGAGAAGGCATTCGACCGCGTCCCTCAGGGAATCCTGTGGGGGGTACTCTGGGAGTATGGGGTACCAGGCCCTTTGATACGGGCTGTTATGTCCCTGTATGACCGGTGTCTGAGCTTGGTCCGCATTGCCAGCAGTAAGTCGGGCTCGTTCCCTGTGAGAGTTGGACTCCACCAAGGTTGCCCTTTGTCACCGATTCGGTTCATAACTTTTATGGACAGAATTTCTAGGTGCAGCCAAGGTGTTGAGGGGATCCATTTTTGTGACCTTAGGATTACTTCTCTGTTTTCTGTAGATGATGTGGACCTATTGACTTCATCAGGTCGTGATCTACAGCTTTCGCTGGAGCGGTTTGCAGCCGAGTGTGACGCGGCCAGGATGAGGATCAGTTCATCCAAATCCGAAGCCATGGTCTTGAGCCAGAAAAGGGTAGAGTGCCCTCTCGGGGTCGGGGAGGATGTCCTGCCCCACGTGGAGGAGTTTAAGTATCTCGGGATCTTGTTCACAAATAAGGGAAAAATGGAGCGTGAGATCGATAAGCGGATAGGTGCAGCATCGACAGTGAAGCAGGCGCTGTATCGGTCTGTTGGGGTGAAGAGAGAGCTGAGTAAAAAGATGAACCTCTCAATTTACCGATCGATCTACGTTCCTACCCTCATCTATGGTCATGAGCTTTGTGTTGTGACTGAAAGAACGAGATCACGGATACAGGTGGGCGAAATGAGTTTTCTCCACAGGGTGTCTCTCCCTTAGAGATAAGGTGAGAAGCTCGGTCATCTGGGAGGGACTCAGAGTAGAGCCGCTGCTTCTCCACATCGAGAGGAGCCAGTTGATGTGGCTTGGGCATCTGGTTAGGATGCCTTCTGGACGCTTCCCTGGTGAGATGTTCCGGGCACGTCTCACTGGGAGGAGAGCCAGTGGACGACCCAGGACACGCTAGAGGGACTATATTTCTCGGCTGGCCTGGGATTGCTTGGGATTCCCCTGGAGGAGCTGGCCCAAGTGGCTAGGGAGAGGGAAGTCTGGGTCTCCCTACTTATGCTGCTACCCCCGCTACCCGTTAATCTAAAGGACTGTTTCCCAAGCTTTTACCAGCATGTGGGCATACCAACACATGGAAACAATATGCTGAACCGTGTTTACACAAACATAAAAGATGCATACAAAGCCGAACGCCGCCCCCACTTAGGACTGTCAGACCACATCTCAATCTTCTTGGCCACTGCTTACCTCCCCCCACTGAGACGCTCTAGACCAGTACAAAAGAAAGTTAAATGTTGGATCCAGGACAGTGGCCCTATACTGAGAGATTGTTTTGAATGAATAGACTGGTAGGTTTTCAGAGAAGCTGCTGAAAATGGAGGATCGCTTGATCTGGACCAATACACATCCTCAGTTCTGGGTTGCATTAGTACATGTATCTAAAAAAGTTAAATCTGGTCCTCTGGACATTCAAAAAAACAAAACAAAGCAAATCAACAAAAAAATGTAGAAACGTTTCGTCTCTCATCCGAGAGACTTCCTCAGTCTGAGGTGCTGTATTCAGCTCAGTCTCTTAAATAGCACCTTCTCAGAGTGGATCAACCAGTTTTGCTGCTGACAACCAAAACCAGCTGATCACATGCTCAAGAAAGACCATCAGCCTAACAATGGATCATTAGCACACTGATGGCTGTTTACTGTTCACAGAGGGCTGAGTGATACTAGCAATCACAGCATTGTAAGAGGGGGACAATTGAACACGTAGGCCTCCACCCCTGTTTAACGATGGACGATTTCTTTTCACAAAGATGGCCTCCTTTACTCCTCTCTCAAACCATCGTTCCTCTCTGTCCAGGATGTGAACATCTTCATCCCTGAAAGAGTGACCGCTGGCCTGGAGATGAGTGTAGACCGCAGAGTCCTGGCCTGATGATGTTGATCTTCTGTGCTGGGCCATCCTTTTGGCCAGTGGCTGTTTTGTTTCCCTGAAGTAAGACTGATCACAGCCCTCCTGACACTGAACAGCATACACAACATTGCTCTGTTTGTGCTGGGGGACTGGATCTTTGGGATGAACCAGTCTTTGCCGTAATGTATTTTGGGGTTTAAAAGCCACTGGGACGTTATGTTTAGAAAAGAAACGTCTCAGTTTCTCTGATACTCCTTCAACATGCCATCATTTTTTGAATGTCCAGAGGACCAGATTCAACTTTTTTAGATTTTTCTACCTGGATTATTGAGCATGCATCAGGATATTAGTACATGTACTGACACCGTCTCTTCCATCAGATATGTTAAAAGCTACCCGAACAGAAAACCTTGGCTGAATGCAGAGGTGCGCACCCTGCTGGCAGCCAGGAACATTGCCTTCAGGTCTGGAAACTCAGAGGAGCTGAGTAGGACAAGGAAATGGTAAATAGTAAATGTTAAATGGATTGTACTTATATAGCGCCTTTCTATCTTATTTCAAGATACTCAAAGTGCTTTACAGCGCTTTAGCACTCTACTAGATCTCTACAAAGCTAATTGAACAAATCATTCTAATGAGACTAATCATTGCTTTATCACATTCATATACTAATGGGACACACATTAGAGGCAATGAGGGGTTCAGTGTCTTGCCCAGGGATACTTCAGCATGTGATTGCTG